AATCCCAAACATGCAATACATATTTTTGGTAGAAAAATTGGGAAAGGTGGGGCTAAATCACGCAACTAGCCTTGGCTAGGTCGGAGGGGTGCCTTGGATTTTTATCCTTACCTTCCCCTTCGTCAAATGTGACTCCCGAACCTTTTTCGTTGGTTTACGTGGACTAGGAGTCGTTCAAAAAGGGGTTTCTTTCTATCTTTCCTTTAGAAAATTTCTTTTTGGGTGACTTGGTACACCCTAACTCCATACCAAGTGGCGACTCCGTTTTTCATTCAAAAAAACCCCTTTTGAACTTTATTTGGCCAAATCGTCGCATTCTCAAAGTCCCATGGCCTTTTACTTTTCATTTACACACATTCACATTCCACTACTCACACACCACACACCATCACCAACACATCATTCAAAAAGTGGGGCACGACAGTTGGCGACTCCACTGGGGACTTCCTAAGTGGGTCCAAGCATTTGATTTAGCCATTCTTTTCCCTTTTCTACCCTTGTTATGCATTGCATTTGGATTTTAGGATTGCATTTTTCATTTTTAAGACCTTTTGTCTTATGAACGTAATCAAACCAATTCCTCGACTCACGAATGTATGTTTGAATGAATGTTTACTTGTTATCTCGCGCTTGCATTGCATTTTGGGAGGTATGGGTCACCCTAGAGCCTCGCGTTGGTTCTTGACCCTTCCCCTCCAAACGAGCACTAGCATACGAGCATACGCTTTACTTCTTTTATCCCTTTTATTTTTCTTTAGTGGCTTGTCACGCCACTCCACCCTATTAGGATTAGGTGACTCACCTGGACATGTGATCACGACACGATGTGTGTGTAGCATGTTCCAATGGGTCACTCAATCTTCCGCGTAAAGCTATTGGTTGATAGCCTTTAGCTTTTGGTCGAAGATTGAGGTTTTGATAGATTCACTCAAACACGTAGCCGTGACACGATGTGTGCGTAGCGGTGTTTGGGGAATCGCTCGAGCCACCGACAAAGAATCTTGGGATTGATGACCCTTGGTTTCTAAGTCTGAAGGCTTGGGGACCTGAGCTTATCGAGTCTAGATGCATTAGCGAACCCCAACCTCATGCATCCATATTAGAATTGCCTAAGGTAGAGTCTGTCTTACCCTATTAGGGACACGATTCACGAGGGGAGGGGTCCAACCCCTTTCTCCTTTTTATTGCTTTATTTCTTTATATTTATTTCGTTGCTGCAATGTGTTATGTGCATTTATCTGGCTGAACTAACTTTTCTTGGTTTTGTGTCCCCATTGCATTCACAAACTCTAGCAAATAAGAGGTCTGGTACGACCTCGTTTTAGAACCTACCCTTATAGATAGGCTATTGCACGTTTAAATATTTTGGTATATTGCATTCATAGATTAGTAATTGCATATCATTCTAGGCCTACCTTGGCATATAAAAGGTCCTTCTAGATCATGATTTCATTTCAAATTGCATGTTTTACTGCTTTAATAAAATGGCATCATGCATAAACCCTAGAAAGGGAATGCCACATAGGGAATCCCGTGTTTAGGAATAAGCCACCTTGTGTCTCGGATATTTAATCCAGTGAGACTTGCACGTTTACATTTTATACCATCCAAAGGGGTAGTGCACAAGGTAAGGTAGGATCCGATTATTTTCATAGAGTGATTTTTGGAATATGAGCATCTAATAATCACTTTTTGGCCATTTTATCAAAAATTGGTAAGAATCCCTTGCGTGAAGGACATTAATTTGAAGAAATTCACAAATGATTCCTCCTATTGAGACGATAAATAAATTGAGGCCAAAATTTGATTTTTAGAAGCTCATAGACTAATGCACCTCAATAATTTTGAAATAACCAATGGCCGGACAATTCAACCAATCCATTTTGCCAAATCATTTATCAATTCATTTGACCAATCTACCCTTTTTAGGGTCACTTGGTCGATTTTTGAATCATTCATCAATTCATTTGACCAATTTACCCTTTTTAGGGTCATTCGGCCGATTTTTGAATAAATCACTAATTCAATTTCATTTGACCAATTTACCCATTTTTAGGGCAACCGAGCCGAGTTTGAACAAATCAAGTTTCGTTCAATCTATTTGATCAATTTACCCTTCTTAGGGTGATCTGATTAATTTTGGATAAATTAAATTTCATTCAATTCATTTGACCCGTTTCCCTTTTTAGGGTAATGCGGTCGATTTTAAATAAATTTCATTCAAACCGTTTGACCAATTAGAGTTTCAATGTCGAATTCCAAATTGGGAAATCTAGTCGATTTTTTTTTGAAAAAACCATCCATTGCATCCAGCCATTTGATCAATTGGGGTTTTTACCCGTGTTACACTGAGAAAAATTTTGTCAACGAATTCCAATCTTTTCGATAGGAAGTTCGTCAAGGTCAAACCCGTGCGTTTTTGCAAATTCTTGTATCGATCAAAAGTGATCAATCCATTCGGACGTTGACCTCATTTTGACAAATCTCTCGTCACTCCAATTGACCAAATTCTTTCAAAATTATTTCTCACTCAATGAGTTTGATCAGATCCATCAGGTATGGTATGGTGCCTACCCTAGAGGATTGCATTTTCATGCTAGACCTACCCTTGGCACAAAAAGGGTTCCCCTATAGGACATGCATCCGAATTTCCTGGATGTCTACTAACTCTTGCCTTTTTCTCTTTCTTTTCTTTATTTTCTTTGAAATAAATTAAGCGAGGGTTGAATCTAAAGGCAATTCCTTTTAAAATTCTCAGGTAATATTTAAACATAGCTTCTCGTCGAAGCCCCATCATAACGCGATCCCGTAGTCGAGCCCAGAGGAGTCGTGTAAACATGAGTTCACAACCGGAACCATCGGATAGGTCTGCTACTACTGTCCAACCTGAGACTGCAAGTTTGGGGGTCCAACTGACCGAGATGCTTACGAAGTTTGGTGAGATGGCAACTGAAATGGCCGCCCAAAAGAAATTAATCGATGAGCTTATCAGTAGCGGAGTCCAACCTGAGCCTGTACTCATCAGTCAATCGGGGCCAGAGTCATTGGTCATGCCCACGACCCAAACTACTTTTACTCCACCCTTCATCATTCCACCCGAAGGAACTTTCACCTATCCCACCATAAATTTGCCATACACTTGCCCTCCTGATCCTTCATTCTTCCCTACTTACATGCAAGGCCCACAACCCCAAATCACTTCGAACATACCTCCTAAGCCGCATACCTTTTATCACGATACAGCTGAGCCTTTCTTACCAGACCATACCATTCAAACCAAGCCAGCAATTGGGGAATCTTCCGCTCCCGTGGATGTAAAGCTTCTCAAGCGCCTGGACCGTTTCGATGAGTTTATAAAGAAAAGTCAGGGGTTGAACAAACAAGGAGTCTTGGATTACGATGAGCTTTGCCTTTTCCCGAATGTGCAATTGCCTGAGGGGTTCAAAACTCCGAAGTTTAACAAGTATGATGGGACGGGCAATCCCAAGACACATCTCAGATTGTTCGCCAACAAGTTGGGTAGGCCGACAGATGATGAAAATCTGCCTTTGAGGCTATTCCCAGAAAGTCTGGAGGGAGATGCACTCGACTGGTAATCCAAGCTGAAACCCGAAGAAGTGAAGACCTGGTTTGACTTGGCCAACGCTTTTGTAAGGCAGTACGAGTATAATTGCGAGCTGGCTCCGACGCGAACCGCGTTGGAAGGAACAAAAAGAAAACCCTCTGAGGACCACAAGACATATGCCAAAAGGTGGAGGAAAATAGCTGCAAAGGTCGAGCCACCAATGACTGAAGACGAAATCATACGCGCTTTCATTAAGGCACATGATCCGCCGTACTTTGAAGAAATTTTCCGCATGACTGGATGCTCATTTGCCGCAATTGTTAATAAGCTTGAGGAATTTGATGATTTCGTGAAAGCTGGAAAGATTGTAAATGTGTCTGCCCTCAAATCACAGTTGGATGCTTTGCAAAGCCAAGGTAGTAATGGGAAGAAGCAACAATTCCAAAAGAAAGAAGGGGAAACTGCTTTTGTCTGGAATCGAAACCCTGTTCCAATACCCAGACCTCGACAATACCCTACCTACTCAAACCCTTACCCTTGCTATTCAAACCCTCATCCTGTTTATCACATTAATATCCCTCATCCTCGACCTCGACCAAGTTACCTAAACACATCTACAACTCCATTCCATATTTCTCCACATAACTTTCAAACTAGACCTCGCTCTCCTTATCATCCAAGACCCACCTTACCCGCCAACCATAATTACAACTATCAACAGACCGCTGGCATCCGAGACCCGGCCCGATATAGAACTTTTACCAATTTAGGTCGGCCCTTGGATCAACTGTATGAGCAGCTCAAGGCCGCGGGGAAAATTGGTACAATACCTCCTAAAGTCTATACTAAAGGAGTTCCCCCTGGTTATAATCCTCAATCTTTTTGTGCCTACCATTCTGGAGCTCCTGGACATTCTACTGTCAATTGTTGGGTACTTAAACACAAAATCCAAGACATGATTGAGGCCGGAGACATAATTTTGAAAGGGAGGGAAGAACAAGGACCAAATATAAGTATAAATCCTTTTCCTGAACACAAGGACACCTTTGAGGCATCCACCTCCAATGACGAAATTTGAAGGTCTTGAAAGAGCTCTTCACAATTTGGATGGCTGACTATCTTCCCTCTCGAAGGGAATTTTGATAAATCTAGGGGTTGTCATTTGCTAAAATTCATGAAAACTTTTTCTTGCATATGTACATAGCTTAATGAAAGCATCTTTTGCAATTTGATTATTTGTTTATTTGATTATTGTTTTGATTTTTTGTTAATTCTTTGAGATGGCCAAAGGTGAAGTTATTTGACTCTTTTTTTTTTTTTTTTTTTTTTGACAAAAGGGGGAAACCCCTGATATTTTATTAATAACAACGGATAAACTCAAGAAGGTGGAAAAATTCCCAACCTTCAATACATGCCGGATAACTAGGAGCTATACCTACACAGGAAACCTGCGAATGTATGGAAAACCTATCGCATCCAAATTAATCAGCGACCGAACTCTACTTGGAAGCTGCTGAACAGATTGAAAAGTAACATATGGACCCTCCCGAGATAACGCTGCTAAGCTGTCTGCCACGGCATTCGCCTCACGATGAATATGTGTAATAGACCCCTTCACCTTGCCTAGTAACAAGCGAAGCTGACTTAAGACGCTACACAACGGCCACTTACCAACCGATCGATTCTGGACCAACCTTACCAACACTAAAGAATCCACCTCTACCAAAATATCTGACAACCCTGCCCCCATACACCACTGCAGCCCAGAACACAATGCCAATCCCTCCGCATATATCACTTCATATTCCCCAAATTCCTTATAAAAAGCACCGATCATCTTCCCTTCAAAATCACGTACCACCCCACCACCTTTAGCTAAACCATTGATCACACTTGCATCTGTGTTGAGTTTGTACGTCCCTCTAGGCGGCTTCATCCATGATATAGCCTTCAGACAGAATGATTTGGCTGGCTTGACCCGAAAAAACCGTGCAAAATACGTATCCATATCCCCCTCCAACTGCACTTTGTTTAACATACAAGCCGCCCCCTTAGCAACCAACCACCCATTGGCTTCGAAGATAACTTTGGAATGGACAGGTTGAAGATTTCCAAACCGAGCATCATTTCTACTACACCATAGAAACCATAACACCACTACCGGTATTACACACCGAACATGATCCAATCGGCCATTGCTAGAAGATTGAAACCACACCACTAGCAGTGAAGAAACACATGAGAATGAACGCCACTGAATTCCGCAAGCTAGAAAGAAATGCTGCCAAACAGCACTTGCTAACCTGCCATGTAAGAAAATATGATTCAAGGATTCCACCGCATTACCACAGCAATCACATTTAGAAACCATGGCCATTCCTCTAGACCGGAGCTTGTCGTCCAGAGGGAGAAAATCAGACAAAACCCTCCAAGCTAAGTACGACATTTTTAGCGGGAGTAACGGACACCAAATTCCACGGCAAACCAAAGACGTGTTACGCCGCTGCCGAACCAGATCCCAGGCTGACGACACAGAAAATGCGCCATCAGCGGAAGGAGCCCAAATTAACTCGTCCTTAAGCTTCGGATCAACAAGTGTTTGGGAAATAATATTAACAATAGATTGTGGGAGAACCTGGAGGAGACGATCAGTATTCCACCCCGTAGAGGTGTAAAACTCAGCTACCAAAAAGTGAGGATGCGCACCAGTAACCTGGTTGCTAAGTGGTTCATTGAAAAGCCATCGATCATACCAGAAATCGATGAAGCCTTCACCTAGCCGCCAACGAATGTTATCTTCAGTGATAGCCCGCACCAAACAGACCCTCTTCCAAGTTGCCGACCCCACAGCAGCCGAAGCCAAACCTGGATGTTGCTCGCCAATGTACTTACGGTGCATGAATCTGGCCCAAGGAGAGCTCTTCTGACGTATTGTCCACCATAATTTCATTACAAAAGCCCTCTCCAAATCCAAAAGAGACCGAAACCCCAATCTCCCTTCTTCAACTGGAAAACAGACTTTTTCCCAAGAGGACCAATGAATCCTCCTACCATCATTGCCATCCCACAGAAAGGCATTAAACAGCTTGCCCAATCTAATAAAGACCCCCTTAGGCGGTTTAGTAACCTGCAGGAGGTAAAGAGGCATAGAACTCAACACATGACGAATCAATATGAGCTTCCCCCCAGCAGACAGAAACCGGGAACTCCAATGATGAAGCTTTGCTCTCACAGAGGCAATTACTCCATCAAATAAGACAGTTTTGTTACGGCCAAGAGAAAGTGGGACTCCCAAATATTTGACAGGCCAAGGCTGCCCTTGAAACCCCGTTTCCTGCTGAATTAATTGGATAACCTCCGAAGAGAGCTTCGACGAACACAGAAAGCGACTCTTAGAGAGATTAATTTTTTGGCCAGAGAGAGCTTGATAGTCGTGTAAAAAGGACGATACCGCCTGTAAGCATTCAGACGATGCCCGGGTGAAAATAATCACGTCATCGGCAAACGCAAGAAACGGGACCATCCCTCCCTTAGACAAAAATCTAAACGCTGGATTGCTAGTAAAAAGCCGCTGAAGACCCCTTCCCAGAAATTCCGAGACAAAAAGGAAAAGAGTGGACGATAACGGATCCCCCTGGCGAACCCCTCTAGTCGACTTGAAAAAGCCGGTGAGCTCCCCATTAACCAGGACAGAAAACCAGACGTTGGATACTAACCGAAAAACCAGATCCACTACTCCTTCTTTAAAACCGAATTCTCGCAGCATATATAACAAAAACCCCCAGTCCACCCTGTCATACGCCTTCTCCATATCCAACTTCAAGATTACATTAGGGTGACGCAGCTTTTTGTCCAAATCCAGAATCAATTCCTGAGCTAGCAAAACATTATCTTGTATGCCGCTGCCCGGAATAAAACCAGTCTGAAACTCTAAAACCAACCTAGGAAGGAGCTGATTGATACGGGTGGACAAAACCTTAGAAATGATCTTGGCACTAACATTAGCTAAACTTATTGGTCGGAAATCTTTCCACTCACATGCGCCTTCCCTCTTGGGGAGTAAAATGATCGTCGTATTGGAAAATCCGCGTGGCATTGTGGCACCAGCAAAAAAATCCTGCACCCCGTCCATGAAGTCATCTCTTATACACTCCCAACAACTTTGATAAAAACCCCCGCCAAACCCATCAGGCCCCGCAGCACTCTGAGGGTCCATTGAGCACACCACAGTATAAACCTCATCCACCGATGGAGATTTCAGCAGCATGTCATTCTCTTCTGGCGTAAGCTTAGGCAGCTCAAGTGAAGGCCTGCTCCCTGAACTAACATCGCGGTCTGCTGTGAACAAAGAGGAGAAAAATCAGACGCTGACAGTTTAATATCCTCGATATTATCAAGCCAACTGTCCCCGGTGCCCCTAATCCGTGCAATAAAATTAGAGCTGCGTTTCTGCTTAACTGTTGCATGGAAAAAAGAGGTATTCGCGTCGCCCTCTTTGATCCATTTGATCGCTGCCTTCTGTCTCCAGAATTCACATTCTAAGGCTAGCTCCCGAGAATGGAGTGCCCGTGCCTCATGTACTGCCGACCTAGACAACACATCCCTATTTTGATCATACAACAATTCCTTGGCCAATAAATTATCCGCTGCCACTTCGACCCGTTGAGAGACATTCCCAAAAACATCCACATTCCATCCAGCTAAAACTCGCTTAACCACCTTCAACTTATTAAAAAATTTCTGCATTCCAATTCCAGGAACAGGCTGAGCCCAAGCAGACGCAACTGTTTGTTGAAAAGTAGGATGACTCCGCCAAACATTAAGAAAGCGAAAGGACGACCGCCGCCTTGCCATGCTGCCCCCCTTAACCAGCAACGGACAATGATCAGATCGCCCTCGCTGAAGATGAGCAACTCGAGTCAGCTCAATAGAAGACAGCCAACCAGCATTAACGACCGCTCGATCAAGCCGCTGCCACATACGCCCATTAGTCCATGTGTAGGCAGACCCATCAAACTGTACCGGAAATAGTCCACTCCGATTTAATGCAGAGTTAAATTCTTCCAGGTCACGAATATTCGGGGCTGAACCTCCAATCCTTTCCTCCACAGAAGAAATAACATTGTAATCCCCTACGGCCATCCATGGGAGTGTAACAGACGTTGAAAAATGCTCCAGAGCCTCCCATAACTGTCGCCTACCAATTCTGTTACACCTCGCGTAAACAGCCGAAATAAAAATGGAAGAACCAGAGGGGAAAGACACATGTATATGGACCACCTGATCCGCAGCTTCTACAAAAGAATATCGTGCATCTGAACACCAGAAAATCCAAATTTTGTTGTGCAAGAAGGACTGAGCAAAATCAAACCCCAAGAACAGCTGCACACTATCCAAATGGGAGACATTAGCTAATGGCTCCAATAGGATCAGTAAACGAATATCGTTTGATCTACAAGCGCTACGAATGTGCCTCAACGACTCCTTATTCGCAGCACCCCGAATGTTCCACACTATAAACTTAATCGGATCTAACATTATGAGACCGAAGGTTATAAGGAGCAGATGAAGGCTTACCGTCTCTTTTTCTGATCTGCCTACCACGAGTCTTGTGACCTTGAACCAAATTTTGCAGCAATTGTGCGTCTGTATCATCCAGAAGAGCTCCAGGGACAACCGGGTCATCGCTTAACTTAGATGCTGTAATTTTGCTGGCCAGCCGATCCCTAAAATTTTTTAACTCATCCAAAGCGATACCTTTCAATCCTAACTGTCTCTCAGAGTTATAACGCACTAGACGAGCATGACCTTCATGCCATCGAGGAGAAAGGGAACAAGCCCGCTCGCGCTGCGGCATTGAAGGCACAGATTTAGTCAACAGAAACTCATCTCGGCCGAAAGAAGGAATTGTGTCCGATAAAGCTTTAACCGGAGAAGAAGAAACCGGGGGAAAACAAGTCAGTACTGAGAGATCATTCTGTGCATTCACAGCACCCCCCCGATATGAAGCAGGGAGAACGGGATCCTGAGCATGAACAGTAGTCTGTGTAGGGTTACCCCTAACAGGGTTAGACGAAGATGATGGGATAACAGTAATAGAGACATCTGCGGTGGGATTACTGCTTTCGCGCACGTGTACCCTTGGGGCTGTCACGACTCCCGAATCCACCACAGGAGGAGATTCATCGACAGGCGGTCCTCCCTTCGGTTGAAAGACGTGCTTGCCTTGAGACGGAACTGATGGTCTAGCGCGTCGCACAGGCCGCAATTCCGGATGCTTCTGATGACAGGTACTTTCGACATGACCAATGGACGAGCAAAAAACGTAGTACGAAGGATATTCTTCATACTCAATCTTCTGCCAAAAACCCCACTGATCATCCCCTATCCAAATCCTGGATCTTGGAGAATTCAATACATCAACTTCCAACAATAATCGCGCTACAGACGGACGCTTCAGCGCAGCCGTAGCTTCATCCACCTTTAATGGTCGGCCCAGTAAGTTACCCAGCTTAAGCAGAAACTGCTTTTCGAAAAACGGCAATGGAAGACCGTGGAAATTGACCCAAACTGGTGCGATGGACGACTCTGCTCCCGGCTTAAAATCGATTGTCCATTTCGACAGGGACATATGGAATTTGCCGATGTACCAAGACTTTCGACACCAGAGTCTGGTGTAATCCTCCTCCACGGAAGGCCGTAAGAGAATATGCTTGGAATCTAATAACCCTATCGGACACTCACCCTTCAGCCCCAAAGAAACAATAAATTTGCGAATAATCTCCATGGAAGGGCGACCAACTGCAAACCTGCCAACCAGTGCATTAGAATAAGGTGCCGCTATCTGTAACATGTCTTGACGGGAGATCACCAACGAAGGCTCCCCCTTGTAAGTACTGAGATGACCAATGCCAGAGGACGAAGAAGACGGAGATTGAGCCAGAATGGAGGCAAACGTCTTCGAATGACGAACAAGAAACGGCGCCTCCCCATGCTGGGGAGCCGCCATGAAACCCTACTTACCTTGCAAAGCCCGAAAATGGTGAGAAAGCCCGATTCTAGAGAGAAAGCCCGAAAAGACTCTAATTTCAACCAAATTAAATAATTAGTTGTTTTATTTGACTCTTTGAATATCACTGTTTTGGAATTTGATGAAACCCTTTATTGAAAATCCCTCCATTAAAAAACCCTCATTGAGAAAGCCTTCATTAAGAAAATCCTTCATTGAGAAAGTTTTCATTGAGAAAAACCATTGAAAAATCCCTTCATTAAAAATCACTTCACTGGAAAAATCCCTTCAATAAGGAATCCCTTCACTGGAAAAATTCTTTCATTTGAAAATTCCTTCATTGATAAATCCCTTCATTTGAGAAAATCTCTTTCCGGCCAGGTTGGAAGTTGATTGGTTAAAACAGTGTCATTAACGATTGATTCTGATTGATGAAAAGGAGTTGAATGCTATGTGCCATGACCAATATTGTCAAAATGCATGGCCTATGTTCATAACAAAAGGGTCCGCCACCGATATCCTGAAGAAGGGAACAAAGTGCTAATGTGATTCAAATTGACAAAGCTTATTGGATGTTCAAGAGGTATTGCCTGGAGGAGTACTCATTTTGGGCAGAGATGGAAGGACAGACATTCCCTCGACCTATCAACTCAGACATGTGTAAGAAATTCTTTATTTGATTATGCAAATTCCTTCTAGGAAATCATGCAAGAGACGAGGCAAAAGTCAGGCCATCTTCCTTTCCAATCAAAACATTTCATCCCTAGTCGTCCCTTTTGAGCTATCAGAACAATAATTTTTTTCGTTTGGCAGCCCCTGAAGATTGCAAACCCCACACTGGGGCAAATTCATTTTGAAAAGAGATGATTAGAAGGGGAAAGCCCTACACTGGGGCAAATTTATTTTTGAAAATGCAAAAAAAAAAGAGAAAGGAAAAGAAAAGGAAGAAAGAACCCCACACTGGGGCAAATTTAGTTTTGAAGAAAAAATGCAAAAAGTAAGAAGAATGCAATGAAGAAAATGCAAAGAAAGAAAATCCAATCAAACTGGGGCAAAATTTTCCTCAGTTTCGTTCAAAATGGGAAATAATTTCAAAATGATGCAATCTCAGGCTATTTCACACCCCTCTCATCAAAATTTGCTTTCAAGCCTCAATTTTTCTTGAAAAACACCTCACCTGACTTCATTTCAAAAGCCCAAAGTCCTGGCTTTCGTCATTTGCCGTATTTTCTATTGGGAAGTTTGCTAATCAACTGGCAAGTGATGTCCATAATGCCTTCGCCTAATCTTACAAGGGAAGCGCATTTTACTGATGTCAGCAATCTTCAGTTCATGCTCCTGAGTCGATTATGGTTGAGTTTTTCCATTGTTCCTTAGGTGAAAACCCGAAGGGGCACCTCAAAAGAAAAGGAACAAAACAAAAGAAAAAGAGAAAAACAAAAACAAAAACAAAGCAAAAGAAAAGGAGTGGGGGCAACCTTGGTGAAAACCCGAAAGGGCGCCAAGGTAGGATTTCTGCAATGAGCAAGCACAAGGAGGAACAACTGATGGTTTGATCCATTTGGATTTCTCCTCATTTTTGTCATACCCCTGCCAATATTGAATTCCAGAACAAGGATATTCAGAGATTCGAATACGCATCCTTTGGCCAAAGCTGTGTCATTTTGTAAAACATTCTTTGGCAAATACATTCTTAGGAAACTCATTTTTACCAAATTTCTTGCATTCATGGCATTTTTGTAGAATTTAAGCACAAATAGTTGTGAGTGCATTTTTGTGCATATTCATTTTTACATGACATGTGAATTTTTCTTGCATTGAATTGTGGTAAATGACAACCCCCGTGGTTTACTCGAAGCATACTTGGGTTCAGTCATCTCTTAAAAAGGGCTAAGGCGCAATCAAGCCAATTACGAAGGCTTCGCAATATGGCAAAATGCTTACCCGGTCAGTCTGGAAAAGCAGAGACATTTGAAATGATAAATGCAACCAAGTCAGATGCCGCGGCCAACTTTGACGAAGGCATCAAAAGGCTTATGTTTACACGATTCTCAAAAGGCAAGCGGATCAAATGATGGTGGCAATTTCTTTTGTTTTTTCTCTTTTATAGAAAATTGCATGCACAGATGAAAGTAATCACATCTTGTACCGGTGTCGGAAAGAGTCCTCTGGTGAACAAAGGCAAATCGAAAATGTTGCAAGTAAATTTGATCAAAAGGTGCAACAGCATGGCGATACAGAATCAACTATGGACTCAAGTTACAAAAATCCATCATACTGGAGCAAATTAATTTTTTTGGAAAGGTTCTCAAAAGTCGAAAAAGAAAAGCGAAGAGAAAAGAAAATCATCAATCAAAAATTAAAAATCAAATCAAGTTTCATCTCGGCAGGACCGGGCCGCTTTTTATCAAATTGGGACCGGGTTTCATCCCGCCAATCTCGGCAGGACCGGGTATAATCCCGCTGACCATTTTTATCAAATTGGGACCGGGTTTCATCCTGCCAATCTCGGCAGGACCGGGTATAATCCCGCTGACCGTTTTTTATCAAAAATCTCGGCAGGACCGGGTATAATCCCGCTGACCATTTTTATCAAATTGGGACCGGGTTTCATCCCGCCAATCTCGGCAGGACCGGGTATGATCCCGCTGACCGCTTTTATCAAATTGGGACCGGGTTTCATCCCGCCAATCTCGGCAGGACCGGGTATGATCCCGCTGACCGCTTTTTATCAAATTGGGATCGGGTTTCATCCCGCCAATCTCGGCAGGACCGGGTATAATCCCGCTGACCATTTTTATCAAATTGGGACCGGGTTTCATCCTGCCAATCTCGGCAGGACCGGGTATGATCCCGCTGACCATTTTCATCCCGCCAACCTTGGCAGGCTCGGGTTTAATCCCACTGTCCATTTGTCAGAACATTTCATTTTCAGCCACTGGAGCAGAGGTTAGTCCCGCCAGTGAGCATTTCTTTTACTTTGCCACTAGCCGTGGGTCAGTCCCACTAGTGCGCATTTCATTTTCATTCGCCACTGGCCGTGGGTCAGTCCCGCTAGTGTGCACCATGATTTTCATTTTCATTCGGGTGAGTCCCATGATCTTCATTTTATTCGGGTCTATCCCGTGGGTCTATCCCATTTACATTTCTGTTCGGGTCAGTCCCGTTTAAATTCTTTTTCGGGTCAGTCCCGTTTAAATTTCTGTCTCGGGTCAGTCCCGATTTTAAAATTTCCTGTCAGGGGTCAGTCCCCATCGTTTGAGTAATTCGCAGCCGAATAACACAGGTAAGTATTCGGTGTCTACTTCTTTGTCTCAAGTTTTTTCAAAACTCAGACAAAGAGGGGCAAACTGTAGACACCAAATTTTTGGTGTTTTATTATTTATTTATTTATTTGCTATTCGTTTTATTTGTTCTATTTTATTTGTCACATTAGTTTTATTCACTTTTAGTGTTAGTTATTTTAGCCATTTTAGCATAGAATTAAAAGAAAAATCATGAAAAAGGAAAAGTAGAAATTTTGTTTTGGCTTTATTTATCTATTTTAGTCATTTCTACTTAATTTATCTTCTATTTGGTTTATTTGGAGAAAAGAGAAAATGTGAAAAATGAAAAAAAATGAAAAAAGGAAAATGAGAAAAGTTGCATTTTTGTTTATTTATTTTTATTTTTATCCCACGTTAATTAAGTTGTTTTTGTTATTATTATTATTATTATTCTTAATTAATTAGTTGTCAAGTCAAAAAAAAAAATTAATAATAATATTTTGTCGCGGCATGCACGCTGCAATTTTTTGCAGCGTGCAAAGGACATTCACAAGAGACGATCGGAGGGCTGGATTTCACAGGGGTAACAAGCCCCTCATCCTCATCGTTGAGATGAGGGTTTAGGAGGTTGGGGGGATGATATAAAAGGGAAAAGAAAAGCAGCAGCAAAAGGGGGGAGGTTTTAGAAGAGGACGGCTGGAAAATCTGGAGGGAGCAAGAGAGAGGAAGAGCGTGAGAGATAGAAAAATAGCAAGGTTCTGGAACAAAAAAAAAATCAGAGAGAGTGACGGCTAAGAATCCGTTGAAAGATTGAGGGAAGAGAGAGTAGCGTAGAAAGGGTGGAGCTGCCGACCAAGAGGAAAAGAAACCTGCGCGCAAGAAGAGAAAAGGCTAGGAAAAGCTGTAAGCTTGATAGAAAAAAAAAACGAAAGGAAGATTGCTGGGAAAGGCTGCAGATTGCTGAAGAAAGCAAAACAAGAAGGGTTTTCAACCGTAAGAACAAAAAGGGATTTGGGATTGGAAGAAGACAACCGCATCATCATCGCTTTTCCGTGGAGTGTTTGCCGAATCGTTCAAGCTCTTTCTCCATTTCAGGTATCGATTTCTTCTTTTAAAGGTTAAAGCTCTTTTCTTTAGTTATTTGTTTGCATCTCTGTGTCCTTGTTGACTCTGGTCTGGCTTCAATATGATTAAGGTTTCTTGTTTTGGGTTGGTTAAAATCTGGAGTGGGTAAAGAGTTGACAGCTTGCATATTGGTGTTTTTGGCCGAGAGGAAATTGCATAAAGTTTCCAACTTTGGTTGGTAGTTTGCTTTAGGTTGAGTTTTGGGATGCAAGTCTGGATTTTTCTTGCAAGCTAATGTCATAAATTCTTGTTTGAGTATTACTTCTGTCCATGTGAGGAATAAGAAACGCATGAATCATGTTTAAATGTTTGCTGAAAATAAACCAGTCAGGATTGCCGAACCTTCTGCTCAGAATTTTCCAGTTTTTGCATAGCTTTTCTTCTATGTTTTAGTTAGTTCGGATGTTGAAATGGATGTTATGACACTTAGATTGGTTTTGGGTGTTTGTGTTTAAACATACTTGAGTTGGAAAAGAGATTTCAGATTGCCAAACCATTCTGCATGAATGCCTTGTCCAGAATTTCTGTGATGCATTAGCTCCTTTATTGTTCTAGCTTGTTGGGAGTTTAAAGTTAAGTTGTTTGTTGATTAGTTGGAGTTATGATGTT